ACGCAATTGCACTATAGGAAACAAAGTGGGCTTTCATTTGCTTCTCTCCCAACGTTCCAATTATGATTCTAGACTTAAGTGAAGTTATCGGAATACAGTCCCCAATTGTACACCTTCGGCACTAGTTTCTGCATGCTTCACAATATTTCAACTACATTGCGGAGCAAAACATAAGAAACACTCCAAAAATATGATTAATTCAATTTCTAGAAAACTTCGTTTCATCGCAACCTGTAGAATCAGAACCGCCTTTATGAAAAACCTATACTCACAAGTTGCCAGATTATCCGATTAGTTTTCCGTATTTTTAGACATTTTTTTAATTTTAGAGCCGGTGCAAAATCATAGGACACCCCTCAGAATTCTCCTCACTATTAAATTTTTTGCAGCCATATTTGAGAGCTCAGGGAAAGCCGTAGCGTAGGTACTCCAAATTCTTACTACGAATAGAAATAAGAGAGCACCAGGATAATCAGCAGAACTTCCTCAAAAGGATTGGCGTATAACCTCGAAGACTACATCGAACAAAATCACCATGTACGGCTCAGTCAGCTCTACGAAAGAAAGAGGATAGAAATGAAATCCTATAGCAAAATCACTGATATGGACAACTAGCGTAGGGTCCTGCGAAGCGTGCATGCTCGTTAGGCGTTCTGACTGAAACCAGAGAAGAGAAACTTCAGGTCTGGAACTCAGGATGAGGTTACGCATCACCACATCTTTAGGAAACGACCACGAAAATTTCGTTGAAGGAATATCGTCGAATCCGCCTATATTATTCCACTAATGAACAGCGATCTGAACCATCAAAAGTAACTACTTGTTACCTAAAGAAGCGCGGTCTGAGAGGAACAAAATACTTATTATTTTGAATGAAAATTTGCTCAACAAAGCCCAGCCTTGGCCCAGTCTTTCGTTGGATTTCTCTTCTCTGGTTTCAGTCAGAACGCCTAACGAGCATGGCAGCACGCTTCGCAGGACCTCTACGCTAGTTGTTCATATCAATTGCCCCAGGACTTCATCTGCTTTATTCTCTTTCTGCTTTTTGAGATAGGACGTTTGCGGGGTGCCACGGTGCATGGTGATTTTGTTCGCTGTAGTCTTCGAGATTATGCGCCAATCCTCTTGGAGGTTTTAATAATTTTAATGCTCTCTTATTTCTATTCGTAGTAAGAAGTTGGAGCACTAAGCCAAGGTTTTCCTTGAGCTCCCGAAAAGCCGTGGTAGAGCCATCAGGCGCGTATAAAAAGAAAGTCTGGCTTTCACTCGCGGAGGGGAGGGAGCAACTCAAACCGTAACTCTAATAGAGTTGCCATACACCGGATAAGTGCTACCATCGTTGCTGGATGGATAAAAAAATTCAACAGTAAGGAGAATTCTGAGGGGTGTCCTATGATTTTGCAACGGCTCCAAAACTAAAAAATTGTCTAAAAATACGGAAAACAATCGGATAATCTGGTACTTGTGAGTATAGGTTTTTCATGAGGCGGTTCTGATTTTACAGGTTGCGATAAACGACGTTTTCTAGAAGCCGAGATATTCATGTTTTTGGGGGTGTCCTATGATTTTGCACCGCACTGCATTTTCTCAACACTCAATTCCACTTTAACCCTTCTCATAGAAAACCAGTTTGGCTCCGCATACTAACGCGTGCGCCACATAGGGACAGCAATCTTGAAAAGAATAACTGACTTGAATAAGACTAGGTCTCATCCCGCTCCGTCCCCTCCCCCATCCTATGTGAGCTTGAATCCTCCTCCTTCGCCACTTAGTTACTTCTTTCGCAGATTTCGGGCAACGTTTGAACCGTTTTGTGAGTTTTGAATTTGAGCTTTACCCACTTCAGTGCTTGTCCCACCACCAACGGCCTCCCCTAGCCGAGTTATGAATTTCTTATCACCACGCATTAAAGGACGAATTCACGCTGGAAAGCAACCCATTTCAAATTAACCTAGCGATGGTGAGTGGTACACGAAAGAAGGAAAAACCATGAGAAACGGCCCAGAACCCGAGAAATGGGACCCCTTCCTTGCCCGTTGATTTGAGCATTGATGCGACTCTCATCGCTGTGCCCTCTTCAACACTACGCTCTCTCACCTATCTAATCACTCGCCACGTATAGACCTGCGGCGAGTGATCATCGGTGGGCGTGCATGGCCAACCGCGCCAAGATTGAGCCATAATAGGTCGCCGAGGTCAACTCTTCCAGTGCAAATTGCGCGTCAGTCCACACCCTCAGGAGGTCCGCGGGTCCCTCACAACTAAGTTGAATTAGTCCTTCTTCGACCTTCATTCTAATCCTGAATTCGTCCTTTACAGTGCTCCGTCCAAACTGCCGAGCGAGTATGCCGTAATTGAAATTAGGTTACAACTTCACAAGGCTTTTTCCCGTCTTAGGCTGAGAGGCGACATGGGACTTCCCCATCGGCACCACCCATCTCAGCGCAGCTCCGTCCACAGTGACCGGAGTTCGACCCAGCCAATACTACGTATTTTGTACTTCTTCACACATAAAAGCCCATCCCAATCTTGACTCCAACCCTCCAGGTTCTTCAGGCAATACCGGTTTCCGTGACAGATACACACAGACAGACAGCACTTTATTTTGGTGGTGTTTTCCCTTTACCAATTTTCCTCGTGTCGTATAACTTCGTATAATGTGACCCAGGTAGAAATCCTGTCCTTTCCTTTTCCCCAAATTTCTGCTAAAATTCTCGAGTGCTTCTGTTCTGTCTCGTTCTACCTTTCTTTACATCCTATCACCTACTCCTTGCTCCTACAGTCTACACTATCAGGCTTAAATTCAAGCAAGAGCCAACCGTTTTGGACGAGTTTTTTTGCAAATCCTTTAACAATTGGCCCCGCACGCTATCGTGCGCACAACACAGTTCTTTGACGATATGGAACGAAGTAACCAAAATTCTCGGACTTATCCCGCCCACCGTCAGCCATTTGACCAGCCTTCGCAATAACGATTTTCTTTACCGGGATGTAAAGGGACCAAGCTAAGATGTAGCAAACTCTAACGACGCATGTTCCATCCGGAATAAGCACTCGCTGCCCACCACTTCCCTGGCCACTATCCTTTTTCCTTTTCTGGTCTCCGGTCTGTCTCGGAAGCGAATTATGAGGTTCTGTAGCGTGTTATGCACCCTTGGCCTGCCTGTGGGTGGTGATTGGTTTAGCAGATGTGTGTTTCGTACATGTTGGCCCATGCCCCATCCGTCCCAAACTTGATTCGGTCACTCCAATTGGCTTTTCAAGTAACACCAAATTTCCCTGCACACATATACAGACATACAGTCCGCATTCGGGAAATGGGTAAGGCGTGTCACCGGAAGTGACGTGCACTTGATAGAAGTTGCGTGGATAAGCTGTTGCCAGCATGCTTTGCTGATATCCAGCGATGTATGTTGGAAGCAGCTTATCCACGCGACTTCTATCAAGTGCTGACGCCGGTGACACGCCTACCCCAACTCTCGGATATCGACTGTAAGTGGCCGACAATACGTATATAGTAGAGCGAGAACCTGTGACCCCTTTCTATCTTTCCTCCTTATTTTATCGTCGCGAAAAAGAGTCGGAGCGAACACTGTTGCAAGATTCGCAGAATCCATTTGGTGCTTGTCAGCGTGACGTGATATCTAGAACATGGTTTCCTGAGTAAGAACGAATATTATTAATATTACTACTACTTATATTACTGTTATAATTAGCTATAATGAACTACGTATTGCTTACCCATAGCAATTGTCTCATGAGATATCCAAGAGTACCGATGTGTGCATCTGGCAGAAAACGGCGCGAAGCTCTTTTTGGCCACCTCATCCCCAAGTCCAAAAACTGAGCTTAGGTCGTGGAATGTTATCTGAATAAGGTAGGACGACACTGAATCAAAGACAGCACGTGAGCAGCAATCTTGAGATAGCTGGTTTGACAGGTTGGGTACCGAAAATTCACATACAGGAGCTTCCTCATTTTTCTTGGCGAGCTCCAACAAAGTCTTGCGGAGAGTGGCGTTCGGAAAAAGCGGTACTTTCAAATCCCGGAAGAAACGTTTTATCATTGAACAAACATCGTGCACTGTGAAAGTAGGGGGTATAGGAGCATCACCCGAGTAAACTGCCTATAATTATCAGTGATCAAGTTAAAAAATTTCTGTTGATTGTTGGTAATAGGATACAGAAGCATCAAAGTTAACACCAACGAAGTTGTTTTGATTCAGACGACTGGCATTTCCTTCGCGTCGAAATAGTCCTTCTAGCGCCAATCCATTTTTATTTATGAAACTGAATGCATTAACGAGAAACCTGAAATAAAGGCGGGATACGATGGGGTAAAACAGCTTTGACAGGACCTGGTTGTGTCCCATATTCCTGGCGATTTTTACGCAATTTTATTTTTCCTCATGTCAAATTGGTGCATTATGGAACAAGTCGAATATGACGAAGAACGCATCAGGACCTGTAGCAGGGATGTCTTAAGGAATCAGGGCCAAGGGAAATAGTAGTAGGAATCGAAATAGATCAATGAGTAAAACCAGCGGATTATGCTTCACTTAAAGGAAAACATTGCAAGGAGCGCAGTAGGCAACATTGGCGCTGTGTTTTTCCTTGTCTTTATGACTGATCGGACACTGAGGTGCTGGCTCAATAGGATCAGCAAAGACGTACGAGACGCCAAGTTCGACATCGTCCTGGACCTCCAGTCAGTTTCTATAAGGACCCTTGCGCTACGAATAGGAAGTGCATCCGGACGCTATTAGCAGGAAACTGTAGCAAACATCTGGACGCAGCCTACGCTCCATGAGTCGACACCTGAATGGAAATGGGCTGTAGCAGAATGAAGCCTCGATGGAAACAGCATGCATCGACTGACCATGACCGAGAAGCACGCCTGACCATCTGCAGAAGTTTCATTCTGCGACCGTATAGACAGACATTCCCTAGTTGGTCACCAGTGCAGATGAGTCATGAGTCCACCTACGATAACAACACGCGGCACGCCTGGTGGCTACCTCGCAGCCTGGACCCACCCTCAACCAAAGCCGAGCTCTTCATCAGAGGATATTACCCCGGTTTGTTGGATTCGCTGGGTATCCCGTTTTGGGAACCATTTCACTTTATGCAGACAAGCATTGCGAAGGTAACCATGGAATAGCTCCCGAAGTTGGCCGCAGCAGTGCGAAACGTCTCAAAATCTCCTTTCCTCCAAATGAACGCCCGAAATCACATTGCAAAGATAACTCGCCACGTTTTGAGGGAAACTGGCTGGACCACGATACCACATCTATCGTATAGCCCTGACATTGCTCCATCGTACTATCACCTCTCAGCCCCTGAAGCAGCAGCTAGGAGAGAAAAAAGTCAGTAAATACAACCACCCCAAAAACGACCTCTCCGACTTTTCATCTCACAGCTTCACTCGTTCTGGGAGGAATGCATCCATTCGTTCCCTAGCAATGGTGCATATCAGTGATTATGATGGTGGTTATATTTTTGATCAATTGTTCAGGAAAGATAAAACGTGAAAAAAATGGACGTGTCGAAACTCAGCCACAAATTATGGGCCAACCCTATATTTTTTGAACTCATACACTGGTAAACAATTAAAGGCAAACCCCGGGATTAGCCCGACTAGTAGGGAGAATACCGCGAGGGAAATTGTAAGGTCCGTGCCTACTTAGATCACTCCAGTGGCAAAATCCCAGTTTTCAATTTAAAACAATGCTAGGTTATGTGAAACTAGTTTATAATCGGTGCTTATTCCCAAAAAACCCAATCCTACGTAATCATGAGAGGAATTAAAACTTACTTTGGCACCTGCTTCAACTGAATCCTAATGATTCCATTTCGACCATCTTCCTTTATATATTGCTCAAGTTCGACATCGAAGGAGTGAAGCTGAAACTTCACAGCATTTATAACATAGGCTCAGAGTGCTTCTCTCAGTGGGTAATCTTTAGGTGGTTGATGGCACCTCTAGAAAACAAAACCCCACAATTGCGGAACAGCATGGCGTTTACATAGCGCCCAATGTAGAGCCTGGCAAGTTCCTTGTAGCGTTTCGCGGCTGTAGTTCCGGGCGCACCGCGCACTTGGACACTACCTGACCGATCGTGTGGCATGCAGTGACTATAGCGGCATGCCAAGCCTTCGGTCCCGCCTCCAGCCTTACATAAAGACGAGAATCAGCATTGAATTGATGTGATAATTCCACTCAAATGTGAAAGTAGGGATGGGAGGTGGACCGCCAGTGGAGAAAAAAGGAAAGAAAATCTGAAATACACAGGAAATACGAGCCTTTTGCTCTACGCTGCGGAGAAGTTCAAAAGGCCAGGCAGGGAGATGAGAGATAATGTGAGCGCGGAGAGAAGTCCGAGAAGAGAGAGCATAGCAGATCAACGTGGCGACGCAGACAAGATATCGAACGGTGGGCGGACCATGTTAAGTTTGGTGGAGTCTGTTAGAAGTCCATGGCGCCTAGGGTCCTAGTGACGCGTTTCGATGTAGAAAGGTGGCGCTACCTTTGCACTTGCGTACCCAGCACTTCTAGCCATGGTAAGGGCTTCTTAGGTGGGTCTGAGCCCGAACTTTGCCTTTAAGGCTGCTTTCACACTTTGCGTCGTTGTGATGACATTCTACACAGAATCAGACCATCGCCCTGTTCGCCAAATTCCTCTTTTCGATTCGTGAGGAGTGGTAGTGCGCAAAGAAGACGATGGTTCGATTCTGCGTAGAACGACTGCAAATTCAGTAAGCGAAGGCAACTGGGACCACATCATTCTTTTCGAGATTGGTGAGAAGATGGCGTTGTCGAAAACATCAGCGAAGAAAACTTCCTTTCTTCGAATATCTTCACGTATGCTAAGAATGTAAAGACTCCGAAAGTGGTTCAGATGCACCTCTTTTCGTAAACTACATACATATGTATAGCTGAATAGACAACGTGAAGCCGCACGAGTTGCAAACATTTGCAGCTTATGTTAGTCCTAAATGGCAAGGCTACATGAATAGACGTTAAAAGAGGATTTTAAGGATCAAAGAGCAACGCAACAGAATTCGTTGAATTAACACAGGTTGGCTGGACCAGTCGCCGGAACGTTACTAGCTACAAGACCAGGTGGCAGGCCTCCGAAGTCTGGGGGCGGTGTAGTCACCGCACAACCTGAAGAGGATGAATATGCCTTCCTTCGAGCTCTTTCTCAAATTTGCTTCCGCAATTTTGTAGGAGGCCTTCGAATAGTGGAGAAAAGGCAGACATCGAGGGGCTTTAGGTGGGAGGGCATTCATTCCCAAAACATCGGCATTCTTACAGCATCTTACGGCCATAATTTCACATTCTAGAATGGATGATCAGCGACGTTAAGAGAGGAGTATGACGCTCGATTATTTAGCCCAAAATCTTCAGCGCCGTGGCAAATATGAACGTCGAAGGCCGGCAAATCACCACCTTCCGTTTTGCTGACGACATCGTTCTTATAACGCCGAACATCGAGCAAGCGGAGCGAATGCTGGCTGATTTCGACTGCGTGTGGTAGGGGTCGGTTACAGCTGAAGCCTGAGCCCATGTCTATGAAGAAACGGGTCAGTTGTTGATCCTCTCTCGAAGACCAACGGAACGATGACCTTCGAATGCTTTAGCTACGTTAATTTAAGTCGGGAAATTAACACGATGAACGACTTCCACGAGTTGGTCCTCATGCCACCGAGGCCGTTCAATATATAATAAAATGAGTGCTCCTACATATAGCAGAAGCGGAGTGGACAAAAAACGAGCCTTTGACAAATGGCGTACGTCGGTAAACATTTCGTCGCGAAAGCTGCCACGTTGACGAAAGCTTTCCAACATAGTATTGCTTGGATATGCTTAAATAACGAGGAACAAGACCTTGTTCACTACGCTCGCCGTTTCGGAATATAAAGTCATCCGTCGTTGTTGTCGAGCTCTAGGTGGTCTACGGTAATCGCCTCGGTAATTCCAATCCTTGCACCACTTTTCTGTATCAGGCTCCTTGTGATTCGGCCCGTTCGAAGGCTACTATGAAAACATTCGGAAGACTCTAATGCGCTCCTCAATCTCTTTGTGGGATCCGGTATGGGTTCAGCAAAGTGTGATCAGTTTAGTTTTGAATGTGAAGGGGAGAAAGCCTTTTTTCATGTGTCTCCTTCCCCTGTATGCGCCCTGAAATGCTGATCTCGAAGTTGTCTTCCGGTTTATTCAAAGCCACGGGTCGAGATCAAGAGTCAAGAAGACCCTTCTAGAATATGACAGTTGCCCTCAAACCCAAGGAGCCGCGACTCTGCTGCGACTCAGAAGTGCGCAGCAAGCAGGATGAATACGGTCGGAGGGAACCCCGTCCATGGCTCTGTACTGGTTCACGGGTTACTCAAACTTCTTTTATGGTTCTACTACGAATGGGGCACTGATATTTAGAGAACGGCGTCGAGCTCGGCGGCAAATCGCAAGGAAGATGGTGGGAGCCTTAGGACTGAGCCTTGGAGAGAGGAGGGACTTTAGGATAGGTTAATCAATCATTGTGTGGCAAAAATTTCAATTTGGGAAACCATGATAGTCATGAACCGCTGTTTAGGCGATAGGGGGCAGAGAGTCAAAGTGAGGCTGCTTAAAGAACCCAGTAAAGTATTACGGGGACCCTGTGTTGTGTGAGAATGGTGCTGAGAGTGAATGTACGCACGGGCGAGAGTGGTTGAACTGGCGAACTTGGTGAGCAGGGTCAACCCTACGTTGTTACGAGTAACAACGGGGGGGGGTCGTACCTGGTTGAGTTTGTAGGA